ATATCTCAAACAAGCAAGTTGGACGTTTTTGATTCAATATTCTGATATTCTTATCAAGGCTTTCCAGAGTATGGCACGAATGCAAAGTGCAAAGAATAGGGAGAAAGTGACAAACATGTATCCCTGTCTTTCTAACTGCACAATGATTCCCCCCCCCCCACACACATCTCCAAATATTTTAAGTATTATGGTGCAAATACGAAGATGAAGGAAATTGTAGGCCAGTGTGTATTCAACTTCAGCAGTAGAAGTGATTTTAATTTTTTAAAAAAAACCCATACAGCTCTCTGTCTTAATTTATTGAACCTAAGCCAGATTTACTCAATTAAGATAATACACTTCAAGGTTAACTATCATTTGTTGTTACTTACATAACCTATTGTATGATTATGTAAATTTCAGAACCCGAACACTACTGGAGTGTCTTAATTACAGTCAAAACAAAAAAGGAGAGGGTGTCATTTAAATATGAATAAGTGAATTGTTGCTTGTATTTCCTGCTCACGGTGCTAGAGCTTTAAAGTTCAGTAACAAAACTGGTTGCACTGATTCTTCATCTTTTCCCTTTGTAAACACATTTATCTCATGGTATGTTGAAAAAAAGTAAAACAAATAGAACAATAGCAAAAAAGAAGAACAGACTACTGATTTGGGCTGCTTGCTGTATAAATAGTCCCACTAGAGGAATAATGATGTAATTCCATATTTAAGTGTACTATTAATATGTATATTCTTCTTTTTAAATACCTGGAGAAAACCATATATGTATGTTTGACAAATGGAATGGCATGCCTTTTTAATTAGACACACTGCTCTAAAAAAAGGATTAGAGTGGTTCTCAACCTTTGGCTTTGCAGACGTTTTGGACTTCAGTTCCCAGTAACCCTGACTATGGGCCATGCTGGCTATGGTGTTTGGGAGTTGAAGTCTAAAACATCTGAAGGACCAAAAGTTGAGAAACTCTAGATTAAATCCATGCAGGATCTCTCTAAATTTGAGAACAAATCATGAGAAAGAGCTATGATTTGTGTGTGTTGCTTGTATGCTTCCAAGAGGAATTTGACTGGTTGGTATTAGTCTGAAGTCGCTGGAAAATGTTGGATTAGATAACAACTATAGTTTGGTCCAACAAAACTCTTCTTGTGCTCTCATTTCCAGGTAAGTATAATGAGAATTATGTAAACATACTGAGAAGCCTGTGGTTAGGTATATCCATGGATTTGAGCCAAATTTACCACCAAGAAACATATTTGTATATTATGAATTACCAGTTATAATTATTGTAATTTTTTTTTACCACCATGAATGGGAATATGTGCTCATGAGATTTGCTGGTTCATATGCCAAAGTAACTTGGCTGGCTTTGGCTACCATACACCTTGATTGGTTGGAGGGAGAAATCCACATAGTATTCTGCTTCAGGCAGCAAAGTGTCTTGGTAGTTCCTGTCACAGACGAAAGCTTAGGGTGCTATTTAGGTACCATGTCACCAACAATGTATGTCTGATCCAGTGTTCTTTGATTGGGGCTTGCTGAGGGGAATTTCCCATGGATTGTCACTTTTGACATTATGGTGTTGCATGGAAAGTTCTTCTGAATCTGCTGAAATGTTCCAGAAATGTTCCTTATTTCCCACCAGGAATTCTATGTAGAAGAGTGAGTTGGCTGACAGATGAAAGGGAGGAAACAATTGGGCTAATATCTATTTAACATTTATTTAAAGCATTTATGCCCCATCTTTCAGCCTAACGTAGAGAGGAGGGCAGCCTCTTCCACTCCCAGACTAGAAAACACAACTCCCTGGCTGCATTTACACAGCAGAGTTAATGCAGTCTGATGCTGCTTTAATTTCCATGGCTCAATGGTATGGAATTCTGGGATTTGTAGTTTTGTGAGATATTTAGCCTTCTCTGTCAGAGAGCTTTGGTGCCACAACAAACTACAAAATCCCAGGATTCCATAGAAAGGAACCATGGCAGTTAAAGCAGTATTAAACTGCATTAATTCTGTAGTGTGGCAGCAGCCCAAGTCCCATCTCTGCTAGTTTCCAGAGAAGAAATATTTTCCCCTTGCAGGCTAGTAATTTTTGTGGGCTTTACAAGACTGGTTTAGGAATTACGATTTAGCCTGAACAACACTTCCTTCTCCTGCTTACAATATGATGATAATAAGAGTGACCCACATTGTAGGCTTGTTGTCAATGAGAATTTTGGATAATGCATGTGAAATACTCAGGGGTTATTCACACGGTGAAAATAATCAAGGATGAATCTAGGTTAAGTCTCCATTGTTCATACACATCTTGAATGTACCCAATGAAAGTTTTTTTTGGGGGGGGCTGGCACCCCCCCTTAATCTGGGATGATCAATATTGGAGCCACCTCCCCCCCCCCGTTTTTTAAAAAAAAGATCCGCATTGTCGGTAGTGTGAATAACCAATCTGAATAGACCCGGGATAAAATGCTGCATACACAAAAAGTGGGGTTCTGAATGCATTCGCGTTATCAGCTTCATCTTTATTCAAATATTTGCATGGGTGAACAACCGAACTTGCCAAAATGCGGATTGGTGTGATTCCATAGTGTGAATAACAAACCTGGAATGCACGAGTGAGATTATTTGCATTGTCACGCTAAAAAAAGACATGTGAATGACCCCTTAGAATACTCAGAGCAATGCTGAATAAGTGCTGCCCACCTTAATCACCTTAATATGCATAAGTTGTCCGGATTCCCTTGTTCTACCTATCTACAAAGTTCAAAACAGCTACATATAGATGTGTGCGCGTACATGCGTACGTACCTCTTATTAAATTAAAAGAAAGAGTAAGAAGGGGGAAAATTGACATCACTTTTCAAATATATCTTTTTATATTGGGACTACATTTTGATTACCTCCCCCCTTCACTGCATTGTTTTTGAGTTATTCGCATGATTAAAAATGACCTCTGGAGGAAACCAAAATGAGTTCGTAATCAAGCAGATCAAGAAAGGAAGGGCCTATTAGCTAATAAAAAAAAGGGGAAAACATGGCTCAGTCCTGAAGCCTGCTTACAAGCTAATGGCAGTTCCCAGTGTAGTTCTAGGAGCCCTTGAAAGAAAACTCCCATCCTTCAGTGATGTGCTAAGAGCGGCTGCTGTCCCCTAGGAGCCAGAGGCGCACTATTCACTCTGTGCCTGCCTCATCCTTTCCAACATGTTCCCACTGATACATTAAAGGAATTAATTGCTCATAATGATCTCACCATCTGTTAACAGAGGTTCATACCTACAGGCTGGTGGCATGTGGTGGTCCTATTCAGAGCTCAATAGGCAATGCTGGGGGAATGCTTTCCCACATTGCTGTCCATTGCGGCCTGAAAAGGGGAGGAGAACTCAGTGTTGGCCATCTGCTCCTCGTCTTTCTGTGCGAGACCTTGATGCGGTCCAACACAGCTCTGATCTGACTCCAATCTGATTGGAATGTGGCTGATCTGAGAGCCTCTCAAAGCTGTGAAACTGAGTCAAAAGGAGATCCTCTTTGTCCCAGGCGGGCTGAAAGAAAATGATCACTTTAAAATTCATAACTCCCAGGTGCCTGCCATCTATTCATGGGAGTTTTAAAAAAAGAAGAGTATGTATATGTGTGTGGGAGAGAAACTCTCTGAACTTCTCTTCATTAAAAAAAGAGAGGGGGGGGACAGAGGGGGGAGTTTGATGATGGAGGGGGGAAAAGGGAGGAGAGAAAAGGAAGTAGTTTGTGGGAATGTGTAGAGGATTTCAGGCTAAACAAATGAGGAATTTGGATTTTCTTTTCTTTTTCTTTTCTTTTTTTAAAGGGGAGAGAAAGAGAGGGAAGGAAAGGGATGCATTTGTAAAAGCAATGCCTCTATACTGGAGGCCCTTCAAAGAAATGGCTCCGCATTGGAAGCCTTTCCCTGGGGCACTGAAGCAAAACAAAACACATCTTTCTACTTTCCCCAGGATCCCCCCCCCTTAAAAATACGTACAACCACCAAGGAAGGAGGGATGTGAAGGAGCATAGTAGTTAACACATGTTCTTACTTTTCAGGGATGGACTCCTCTCTTGCTTTCTGTGCTTTCTTTATATTTTAATTGTTGTGGATGCTGCCTTAAAATAAGATCTGAATCGTGGGGAATATAGCATCACTCCCACATATAACTAAAATATGGTAGATTTTAATTCATTAGAGTGGAATTAGAGAAGCATCCAATACTTTTGCTCTCTCTCAGTCCCCCCCCTCCACTGGCAGTAATTGCAATTTATCTTCTACAAGCACTTGACATGGAAGTATGAATACATTTGATTTTTTTAAAATGTTTGGAGTAGTATAAATTTGTCATGATCTCTGAGCATGTGGCATTTTTTCTTTCATGGTGAGCTTTCCTGTTTCTGCTGAGACATGTACATGCATACACATTAAAATAGTGCAGTGGTTTTGTTTGTTTTTGAGCCTGTTGAGTGTGTGCACCATTGGTAGCATTCACTTTTGACATCAGTGTAGTGGATAAAATGGATTCCACAAAGGAACACTGATGTGGTTGTTTGTGATATTATATTCTCAAGCTTCCTGCAGTTGTCAAGGCCAGCCCTGCCATTGGGCAGAATGGGGCAGCTGCCTCCAGTGGCAGAAACAGGAATGATAGTCCCTTGGCTGCCATTCCTCCATTCACTTCTGTTAGAGGACAAGAGCTGTGTGTACCACATGGTGTATCCTGTTCCTTAATCTGACTTGCTGCTCCCAGATCTGGTAGAGAATGTCCTTCCATTGTTAGTACTCAACTGGCAGTCCAGTCAGCTTTTGGCTGTTGAATGGGAAAGGTGGTTGTCTTGTCCTTTCTCTTTGATGTTGTATGCCTTCAAGTTGTTTCCAAATTATGGCAATCCTAAGGCAAGCCTATTATGGGGTTTTCTTGGCAAGATTGTTCAGAGGGGTTTGCCTTTGCCTTCCTCTGAGGCTGGGAGAATGTGACTTGTGCAAAGTCACCCAGTGTTTCCATGGCTGAGCAGGGATTTGAACTTTGGTCTCCAGAGCCTTAGTCCAGCACTCAGACCACTATGCCACACTAGCTCTCTTCCTTTGCCCAAAGCAGCAAAATGTGAATATAAGGAATGGATTTAGACATTGCATGTCTTGGTGTTTGGAGGTTGTACTAGTTGGTATTCATTCATGGACCCTTCCAAATCTACACATTCAAACACCTCCAGTTCTTCATGTTGTTCTTCCCTGTCAGCAGACACTTCACCCATAGTCACTGTTTCTCTTCACTGATAAATTTCAGCCTCTCTCCTGCTCTTTGTATTTGCATTCATCAGGCCAAATGCTACTCTTATAATAAGCCAAGTCAGTATATTTGCATAATAATCTCTAGCAAACACTGGAAAGATCTGACCTCTCTTGTGCCTGACTGTTTAAAAAGGTTAATGTCAAATTAACATGTAATAAATCCATATTGAGCAATGATGTTAAAAGAAGAGTAATGGTTAAATACACAAACTCCAGATAGTGTGCATAACTTAGTGCAGTACTGTTCTCTTGCATATATTATATTACTATGTTGTATTATATGATCCTCTTCTGATTTTGGCAGCCATTGATCTCTCACCTGTTCTGTGGCTGGTGGTTCCCATGTCTGGGATGGCAGTGAATCTACTCTAGATTCTAGCTTGAACTTTACAGGAGATGTCCACGCTCCTAAACATATTTTTAGGGATATAAATTTAGCACCACAGATAGCTCCTTCAATATTTAGATTAAAACATGTGTGGATTCAGAGCCCCATGGACGTGGCAGCTGCCAGCTGCTACAGCTTTTTTTCCAGAGGGGATGTTGTGTGCCTGCAAGTTGTTTCCAAGTTAAGGTGACACTAAGGCAGCCCTATCATGGGGTTTTCTTGGCAAGATTTGTTCAGAGGTTTGTCATTGCCTTCCCCTGAGGCTGAGACCATGTGACTTGCCCAAGGTCACCCAGTGGATTTCATAACAATAACAATACAAAAACAAGTACATTTCTATACTGCTTATCAGAGCACCTAAGCACACCCTAAGCTGTTTACAATGTGTAGGCTAATTGCTCCCAACAAGCTGGGTACTCATTTTAGCGACCTATGGAAGGATACAAGGCTGAGTTGACCCTGAAGCCCTGAAGGATCAAATCACAACCTTGTGGCTGTGAGAAGCTGCAGTGTCAGGATTTAACCAGTGTGCCACCAAGGCTGAGCTAGGAATTGAACGGATGATCTATAATTTTTTAAAGTATATAATTGCAAGACATGAAAACTTATTGCACTAGTACCTGTAACGTTCCCATCGAGTCCCTGGAACGTAACGATATGGGAATGGGTGTTACTGCATTAGACTATTGATAACGGGATAGTAATGTTATAAGAACACATATTATCACACTGCATTTACTGTTGTACCAGTACTGGCGCTAAAGTAGTTCCTCAGCCGTCCTTCATTGGTGCATGCTCACTGTTGTGAAAAATCCTATGTCTGCATTGGAAAGAATGCTACCGAGAGGTTTAGGTAGCGAGCATTCATTGTTTTTTTCTTGTAAACACTACACAATTCAATTTACAAAAATAAAAAAAAATAATTTTTAAATTGCCTGTGGCACCTTCCTTGTATCAACACTGGAAGAGTTGAGTTGAGTTTGTGGATGTTCTAGGATGGGAGGGGAGGAGGTTGTCTTAGCCAATTGGAACACGGGGACAGATTGAGAACAGGTAATAATATCGCGCACACATCATCTGGAATGGTCTGAAAGCGTTCTTGCAGGCTGAGGACGCATTTTTACAGTTCTCCTCCTGGAACGGGCTAGGGACTGTCAGAGCACAGAATGGGAACTCGATGAGGATCGTACCATGCGATAAAATACACTCCATTCCATGCTCATCATGTACACATTACATTCCGAGAACACAGTGCAATAAGCTTAAATGTTGCAGTGTGGAGTGCTTTTGCTCAGGTCACTAGCAAACAAACTACACCATCTTCCAGGAGACTTAATTGGATCCTCATTTACACAAACTGATTTTCCTTTCTAGGCCATCCCAACAGTCAGCCAGTGTTCTTATCCACTTAGCATGTTCAGTCTTCTTTGGGCTGTTCCCCCTTTCCTTCTGCATATCTTGGGGTTATCCTGAACCTGCTGATATCTCTCTTGTGTACAGAAGCTGCCCTTTTGGTGATATGTGATTGCCAGGAGAATAAGGATCACTACTTAGGATCTTTAATCAATTACAAAACTTCTAGTTGCTTCACTTACCAACTTTTGGAATCAGTTTAATGTGTCAGTTCCAACAAAGATGGGCAAAGCATAATGTTGAAGTTTGCATGGAGCACCCAAGATTTATTTTTTTTATTTTTATTTTTGTGGCCCTCAGCCATTTCAGATTCTTCAAAACACTCTTTTTCTGGCAAAAAGAGGTGAGTTTCTAATCTGAGAAGCCTCCAGCAGAGGGAATTCTCTTTTTAAATAGCTTGCAGGTAGGCCCTGCACCAGGAGTGTGGAACTGTGGAAAGCTAGGAAAACACATTAACCCTCCCCAAGGGACCTTGGAGAGCTGCACTTCCCACAGCACCTGCTCTCATGCAAAAATCAATAATAGCTCAGGCTAGACTCAGGCCTGCATCCTTCTGAGGTTGCTAAAATGAGTACCCAACTGTTGGGGGGCAATGAGCTTACAGTTGTAAACTGCTTAGACATCCCATAGTTCTATATGAAGTGGTATATAAATGAAGCTGCTTTGCTTTGCATTTGTAACCAGTTGCCCTCTACAGTGGGCATTTTCACCATATTTTGGAACCTTCCTGGGACATGAGGCTTAAGAGAGTCCCTTCCTATTTACTTTTTGTTTTAAAAAAAGTCTTTCTCTTGGCCCAGGCCACATCTCAAAATGTAATGAAAATGCCCCCATACTCTGTAGAGGGTGTTTGGGGGGCATTTATCTTTTTTTACTTGGGAGTTGGGGGGGGGGCTCCAATCATGGTGGAAACTTTTTCCAGGACCAATAATTTTTTTCTTTTTCTATATTGTCTGGTTTCCCCTTCACTGCTTTCCATGATGCCTTCACTGGAGTTTTTCACTCCATGGCAGGATAGCATTCAAGTGGTAAGTGTGACAGCATCAGGTGTTATGATGCATGGTGGGTAGCAAAAAACAAAGGAGAATGAGTGGTGCAGGGGGAGGGAAACCATAGTTCACCACCTTGAGGTGCTGTATGTACACGTAAGAAGGAAGCTGCAGAGTGAGTAAGAGAGGAGGAAATTTAGAGGACAAGAGGACAGAGGACAAGAGCTGAAAAGCAAGATGAAACGGGGTGGATGGAGGGATTAAACAAATGGGAAAGAAAGAGGGATGGGAGGTGTGGAGAAAAAGAGACACACATGCCCTAGTGGTACACTGCTGGTACTTCAGCCACAACATTGTGAGTTCGATCCCAGGGCTCCAAGGTTGACTCAGCCTTCCATCCTTTCATAGGTGGCAAAATGAGTACCCAACTTGTTGTGGGCGATTGGCTTACAGATTGTTAACTGCTTAGAGAATGCTGAGTTCAATATTAAGTGGTATAGAAATATAGATGCTATTGCTACCCACAGAAGGAGAAACAACAACACAATGTACAGACTTGGCAGGGAGGAGGTACCGATATCACACATAGCAAGTAAACAAAAGAGGGCGGAAGAAAGAAGACACTGGAGATGGACAGCAGCAGAAACATGGACATTGCTGACATTATGGAGACCTTGAAGGAGGTGAAACAAGAGAATAAGATGAGAAAGAGAAATGGAGAGCTGGTCTACACTAGGAACAAAAATCCGAATGGACTCCTGCCCCTCCTGTCCCTACATCCACCTTGCATATTTTTTTCTCCACAAGGATATCAGGGAGATTGTCTACAGTATCTGACTATGAAGCTTCCTGGGTCTGCTGCAGCTCCCTCCACCATCACCACTGTTCCTGCCTCTGCTGCCCCTGCCTCTACCACCTTCTAACCTTGTCCAGGCCAGTTTCCAACCTGAACGGTTTCCCTCCTCCTCCCTCAGCAGTGCCAGATCCACTGGCCTGCCATTTGCTCTGAGGCAAACAAGGCACCCAGCATGTGATTTGGGTGTTTCATTTGATCTTAGCAAGTGGTTGCGAGATGGTGCCAGTAGTGCTGCTGAGGGAGGAGGAGGGAAACATGTTTGAATTTTTTTGAAGGTGGCAATGGTGGCAGAAGCAGCAGTGAGCGAGGGGCAATGGAGTGGCGATGGGGAGTGCAAACTCCAGGGAAAATTCCACAATTTAAAAACTCCTCAATAAGGAAAGATACCTTGAATCTGGGGTGGATAGGGCCATGCATTGCACAATCTTATTGCCGCAGATTCGGCAATAAGGCTGCACCTTATATGGCCTTACTGCCCTGGATTTGGGGGGGGGAGCCAATTTTTAATGGGTTTTTCAGCAGTGTAGACAAGCCCAGAGAGATAGAGAGAAAATGATTGAGCAGTTAGGGAGAAAAAGTGGAGGAGGTTTTCAAGAGTGACCTGACAAAAGTAGCAGAATTCATAAACTCATTGATTACTTTATATGAAATATAATTCATTTTCAACATAATTTTCAAGCATGTTAGGTTTTTTTTTTTGGTCACAGACAAAGAATACTATATTAAAATGTTCTTGAAAGTTGCAGATAAATACGACCAAGTAGGAAGTTTAGAAGAGAAACAATTTTTTGTAAGGAAAAGTAGTTCTTTGACTCTAATTATAAATTATGATTTTGTACAGGATTTCAGTGCAGTGCTAATTATTCCAAATATAAGCCACCCCACACAAATGAGGATTAAAATACTATAGACAAGTAAATAATACATTCATGTGAGCATGTGCATAATGATTAATTTCAACAGTATATGCTTTTGTAAGTGCAAATGGATATAGGACTCTTTATTTATTTTAGTATGTGCAGGTAGACTGTGATAGTTTATGGGTTTTACAGATAAATTAGAAGTTTTAACTTTCTTATCTTACTTTTCAATGCTTTTAGCCTGAGATTCCCAGCATCCCTATTGTAATTACAATTCC